AGTCTATATTGTATGCATGGGAGCTCTGGTAGCATAGTGGCTAAGGCACTTCCTGCTAACCAGAAGGCTGGTGGTTCAAATCTACCAGCCACTCCTTGAAAGGAAGATGGGGCAATCTACTTCCATAGTGATATGGGCTTGGAAATCCAAGGAGGGGTCACTATGAGTCGAGTCTGACTTGACAGCACAGAACAACAACAACATATTGCATGCATATTCTTTAATACATTTTCATCTATTTTTTTTTAGTTTAGTAATTAAATCATTTTTATAAGATTTTAAAATGCATTAAGAGTTTTTTACAATGTGTTTTTTTAAATATATTTCTTCTATATCATTCATTATATCCCCTTCTCATCTCAGTACATGTTTCAGTTTAATCAATTTATTTAATGGCATTTCCCTTTTGTTTGTATAATTTCCATACCACTATTTCCTTCATTCAAAACTGTGGGTTCTTTTATTGCTCAAGATTCATAGCTGTCCATCCCCAACTTAAAAAATAAAATGCAATATTTTCCACACATATCATGAGAGGAAAACAAAGATGGCTGTTATTATAGAAGAATAAGGAGGGGTACCATTAAACAATTTCAAAACATTTATATTTACAATATGTAAGAGGAAATGGATGTTAAGATGTGTACTATAAATAACAAATATTTACAGACACCAACAATATGCTTTCCTAATGCATATTTTATATTGCTGAGAGTTGCTTAGCACCCACTTCCCCATTTTTAAACTTCTTAACATAACCATTTTCACAGCAAAAACTGATTCATTTAATCAATTCAACCATTTTATCAATTTCTGACAATAGTTATTTTTTCTTTCTTTCTCATCTATCTATATATATTCTAAATAAATAAAGAAAAATAAAGAAAACAACTCATTGCCTTTGAGTTGGTTCTGACTCACAGCAACCCCTCCTTGGGTGTCTGAGGTGGTAACTCTATGGAAGTAGATTGCCCAGTCTTCCTTCCAAGGAGTGGCTGGTGGGTTTGAACTGCCAGCCTTCTGGTTAGCAGTCAAATGCCTTAGGCACTACACCACCAGAGCTACATATATATATATATATATATATATATATATATATATATATATATATATATATATACACACACACACACATGCATACATAAAATTAAAAATGGGTAAATGGAAGTTTTTTAATATTTATATATATATAAAGTATATAAAAATTTCCTTTTTACCCATTTTAAGTTACAATTTAATATCATTAATTACATTAACTGTAGTGTGCTCCTATTACTACTCTTTATTCCCAAAGTTGGTTATTGATACATGTTCTTGTTAGGTGCTATTGAGTCAGCACTGACTCATAACAACCCCATATACAACAGAACAAAACACTTGAAAGGTCCTACACCAGCCAACCAATCATTGCTATACTTCAGCCCACCATTGCAGCTACTGGGTCAGTCCCTCTTGTTGAGGGGCTCCCCCTTGTTTGCTGCCTCTCTACTTTACCAAACATGATATCCTTCTCAAGGACACAGTTCCTTCTGACAACAGAAGGAGGTGAGATGAAGTCCAGCAATTCTTGCTTCCAAGAAGCCTTCTGGTTGCACTTCTTCCAATATAAATTTGTTCTTTCTTCTGGCAGCCCATGACATTCTTAATATTTTTAACCAATACCACAATTCAAAGACATCAGTTATTCTTCATTCTTCCTTATTTATTGTTCAGCTTCCATATGTGATTATTTCAGTTCATACTGTTCAGCTTTTCATATGGTTATGTTAGGGGCACCTTAGTCTCCAAAGTGACATGTTTGCTTCTTAAAGAGGTCTTTTTTAGTAGAGTTTCCCAATAAAATATGACATAATGATTTCTTGACTGCTGCTTGCATGGGTTTTGATTGTGGATCCAAGTAAAATGAAATCACCAAAAACATAGATCTTTTCTCTGTTTAGCATGATGCTGTTTATTGGTACTGTTGTGAGGATTTTTGTTTTCTGCACGTTGAAGTGTAATCCATACTGAAGACTATACTCTTTGTTCTTCATCAGTAATTTTTAAAGTCATCTTCACTATTGGCAAGCAAGTTTGTGTCATCAACGTATTGCAGATTGTTAATGAGTCCTCCAATCCTGATGCTGTGTTGTTCTTCAGGTCGTCCAGTTTCATGAATTATTTATTCAGCATAGATATGGAATAAGTATGGTAAAAAGATATAACTCTGATGCATACCTTTTTCACACATGATGTTCTTGATGTCATTGCACAACTCATCTGCTCTTCAGTCATTGGTGTTCAATGCATCACATCTATTCTTCTGATGATCTCTAAATTTAGGTAGCATATAATCACAAGATGTATTTTGGATCTCATGGACTTGTTTTAATTTTCTTCAGCTGCAACTTGAACTTTCATATGAGCAATTGATGGTCTATTCCACAGTCAGCTTCTGGCCTTATTTTGAGTGAAGGTATGGAGCTTCTCCTTCTCTTTTTTCTACAGATGTAGTCAATCTGATTCCTGTGTATTCTATCTGGTGAGGCCATGTGTGTAGCTGCCATTTATGTTACTGAAAAAGGTATTTAAGGTATTTGCCATGAATAAATAATCAATCTTGCAAAAATTCTACCATGAGATCTCCAGAATTCTTTTTATCACTAAGAACATATTTTCCAAGGATTCTTCTTTGCTTCCAACTTTCATAAAACAATCAATACCTTTTGATTGCACGTTTGGTCAAATTGGACTGCAGAACTTGGTAAAAATCTTCAATGTCATCCTCTTTGGCTTTAGTTGCTATTGTGTAAATTTAAATAGTAGCGTTATATGTTCTTCCTTGTAGACATATAGACATTATCCTATCTCTGACATCACTGAACTTCAGGATAGATCTCAAAATCTATCTCAAAATTGTTTTTGGCAATGAATGTTACACCATTCATCTTCAGTTTGTCATTCCAGACATAGCAGACCATATAATTGTCTGCTTCAAAATACCAATACCAGTCCATTTCAGTTCAATAATACCTAGGTTATTGATTTTTATGCATTCCATTTCATTTTTGACAACTTCCAAGTTTCCTAGATTCATACTTCTACATTCCATGTTCTGATTAATGGATATTTGCAGCTGTTTCTTCCCATTTGCATCGTGCCTCATCAGCAAATAAAGATCCCAGAAACTTTACTTTATCCATGTAAGTAACTTTGAGAATTTACTTTTAGGAGGCTGCTCTACCCAAGTTGTATTTTAAATGCCTTCCAACTCAAGGGTTCTATCTTCTGACACTAAATCAGACAATGTTTCAGTGCTATTCTAAAGTATCCCAGTAATATATTGTTTCACTGCTATTCATCACGTTTTCACTGTCCAAGTCTTTTCATAATTGGACGACACCATCCTTCTTCCCAGTCTGCCTTAACTTGGAAGCTCTCCTGACACCTGTCCATTATGGGTAGTGCTTCTATTATTTTAAATTCCCATGGCGTAGCTTTTAGCCTCATAGCAACACTCAAGCCACCAGAGTACAACATAGTGAGAGACGAGTGCTGTGGTTGTTAATTATGTTTATTAAATATTAGTCATTAATACAGAAGTGATAGTCACACCATTGAAAGTTAGGACATTCATGCTTCCTTGCTTTCCTCACACTTTGATTTAAATAACATGTAGTGCAGTGAAGTTTATATTTTTAATCCTTATATCATACACATGGCTTTGTACTAGAATCATTGGCATAATGAAAATATAAAATGTATTTGTTCCAATAAAACTCACAAAAGTTCTGTAATGCAATACATGATTGCTAGAATCCATGATGGCGCTGTTTCCTGAGTGTCCTTGACAATCTTATTCAATATTTCAAAACTCAAACTCTTAATTTATAAAATGAGGGAATATTACTACCAACCATATGGTCCTGTTGAAGTGTTACATAAGAACAATTATTTTCAAAAATTTATACATATCATGCCACAAAAATTATAAATATTATGGATTGATTTATTTTATTATGTGGATAAACAATATGAGCATTGTATCATAATGCCAATGATAGTTACACACGACATTTATTGCCTGAGAATTTATCTTTTTAATCAAGGAGATGTGGCTCATTCCTAGTGCTCATTGGCCTAAATGTTCTCCCTTCCTTGCATATGTGGGAAGATTGCTCAATTACCATCTGTTGACAATGGGAAGAACCATGGATTTATGGGTTAACATGTAATAATAACTCAGAATGTAGAATTCATGCATGCCCTTAATTTGTCTAGGAAATAATGTTTAATCATTTGAACAGATAAATGTACCCTAACTCCACTTGACATTGTTTTACTAATTAAACATTTTCCATTTAAATACTTTTTACAAGTAAAATTCAGTGAAGCAATTTGAACTGATTTTAAATAAAATTTTAGTCTGAATGTAAGTGTAACTTATTTACATAGATTTCTTACATATAAGGGAGCAGTATAAAGTGATTCTGACCTGATCATACACGACCACTCTACTGAGCAAACCCACTTTTCTTTTCTCAGCATAACTTTTATGGATATTTTATGATCATTAAAAGAACATTTATTTTCATACTTATTTTACAAGTGAATAAAAGACTGAACATTTTCATTTCTTCCATAATACTAAATTGCAAAATAAATTGATGTAGTATTCTTTCTAACTTACCAATATTTTAAGTGTAGATAAATACAGAAGATATATTTAAACATATAGTATTGCTAAGGATAACATTCTAGGGTCTTTAAGTCTGAATTTGTTAATGAGAGCTGTTAACTTGCCAAACACATATGACTGGGATTACTTATTCATAACACAAGCTCTCTTAACCAATGCCAATCAAATCATTCAAAATCCCAAGAAAGTAAAGATTTTAATGAACTTAAATATGAAATTTACATAAATCACATCTATATAATTCATATATAATCTCAATTTATTACTGAAAATATGAACTTTAAGTAATAGGCTGAGCAAACAATTGCCTATACATTTCTGACTAAAATATCTTTTTCATGATTTTCCTGATGGCACATTTTATTTGTTCATTTCTAAGACTATAGATAATCAGGTTGAAGGGGAGGGGAATTATGGAATAGAATATGGAAAGGGCCATATCTTTAATGGTTGCAGAGTTTGCAGATGGCCTTAGGTACACATAGAAAACTGAGCCTAGGAAGATTGATACCACAAGGATATGTGGGATGCAGGTGGAAAAGACCTTTACTCTGTCTGCTTCACTTGGGAACTTGAGCACAGTCGAAAATATGTGAATGTAAGACCTGATAATGAAGATGAAACAGCCTCCACCAATCACTAGAGCAGAGTCAAGGATTGTCATCTCATTGCTGAAGGTGTCAGAGCAGGAGAGCTTCAGCAGAGATGGAATGTCACAGAAAAACTGATGAATAACATTGGAATGACAAAAAGGCAGCCTGAAAGTGTTGGCTGTGTGGAATCCTGCATAGACCAGACCACTGAGAATGGAAGCCAGTGTCATTTGGACACAGACTCGAGGGTGCATGATCACAGCATAGTGCAGAGGTTGGCAGATGGCCACATAGCAGTCACGGGCCATCACGGTGATGAAAAGTAGCTCCACATATACAAAGAAAACCACTATAAAGACTTGAGCTGCACATCCTGCCTTTGAAATGTCATTGTTGTCTAGCAGGGAGTTGACACATGAATTAGGGACTGTTACAGAAATGTAACCTGCAAGCAACATGGACAGATTCCTGAGAAAGAAGTACATGGGAGTGTGAAGGCTCTTGTCCATGGTGGTGACAATAACAATGAGAAAATTCCCAGTAAGTGTCATCATATACATCAGAGAGAAGGATACAACATGAAAAGCCTGTAGTTCCCAGACATCTGAAAACCCCATAAGGAGAAATCCCATCATCATGGTGGAATTGGGCATCTCTGGGTGAGGCATCTCATACCTGGGAGACAATAAAAGAAGTCTTGAACATATGAACAATTAAACTATGAGATGATTGCTCTTATTATTTTTCTCTCACTCCTTTCTTAATCCTAATCACTATTGAAATCTCTAATATTTTGGAAAGTAATTCATGTATTGCTTCATTAGCCTCCATAATATTCTAATTCCTATTGTAGGACTGAAGTGAAAATCTCAACATTTTCTCATGAACAGCACACATATATGTGTTTAATATATATTTGTGTGTAATGCCATATGAATATATATTTATTCATGATAAAATACATAGATAAAACTGTGACAGTAGTCTTTGGGTGGTACACACATTTAACATGCTTGATGCTAACCAAAGGAGAGCATGTTTGAATTCATTGAGAGATGGCTCAGAAGCATGACCTGGTGATCCACTTGTAAGAAAATCAGCCACTAAAAATCCTATACAGCTCAGGTGTACTCTAAATCTCATGGAATCCACATAAGTCAGAGTTAACATGATGGAAATTTTATGTTTTTTTTTTTTTTTTTTTAAATGTGATATAGATTATACTGATATGGTTTGCTTTTTAAAAGAATTTTGGAGATAATGAAATGATATTGGATAATTGGAATAAATTTTTTAGATGTTTTTCCAGTCTTGCATTCTTATTTTGAGGCCATAAAAATATTAACAAAAGTAATCCTATTTTCTGAAAGAGTTCTATAAGCATAAAAATGTCAAAATTAAATTCTACCACCATCACATACAATATTGAAATCATTTCAAACCTTATCTTAAGCTGATCAAATCCTCCTTATCTCATGCATTTACCCCACACTGAATCTGCTTCTCATTTTCTGTTAAGCTCTTATTCATAGAAGTACTTTTATAGTCATTTCCCTATCTTGTAAAGAGAGATATTAACCTCTCTTCAGGAGAGTGCCCCAGCTTCCATTCCTTTCAATGTCTCTTTAATCTTCCACTAATATTGCTTGTTTTTTTTTTTTTCATCTTCAGTTTTCCTTCCACTTTTCTGGAAGCCTTTCTACCAAATCTTTGAACGGTCTTCATCCATTTCTACATAACTAATCACATTGTTGTTTCTTGCTGCTATATCTGTATACTAAATTAATTACTGATTTCTTTTATCATTTGTTTAGTTTACTCACCAGTGGACAACTTTCCCCTTAACTTCTATGTACAGAAAAACGCAACCATTGCCGTGGAGTCAGATCCGACCCATAACGACCCTTTCTTGGGTTTCTGAGGCAGTGTCACTATGGAAGTAGATTGCCCAACCTTACTTCTGGGGGGTGAGTGGTGGGTGAATCTCTTCTATCAAATATATGTTGTTGTTAGTTGTTAAGTGC